TCCAGTTGACCTATCGGAGCCACGGTCAGCTCATCAAACAGAATGAATAGCACCTGCTTCAAGGACTGTTGCACAATTAAATGAGACAATAAGTATGAGCGCATCTTGTTATGTATAAAAATATAAAATAATAACGATGATCATGTTCAGCTCCCAATTTTGCCTTTTTTTTTTTGGGAACAAACATAATGTGAAAGCATATAAAATTGTTGCTCTACCCAATTAGAAAAGAGGCACTGCATCCCTTCTCACTATGCTGGTTCTAATATAGCTTTGCCTGTCACGTGGCTGTCTTAAACTCAGTTACTCTGCTGAGAAGGCAAAACAGCCGAGTGGGTGAGCAGCGAGGTAACGTTTCCAAAGGAAGGCATTAAATTAAATTATTAAACACACACAAGCAGGAGTAGTAATGTAAGAATTTCGAAAGATTCACAAGGAAAAGAAAGAGAGCCAAGGGACTATTTCTGGTGTTCTGACTCCAGAAAACGCCGAGCGGCTATTATGGCTATTTATTAACCCGCAACATCATAAACCCTAACCCTATTAAACATGATGAATGAGTCCTAGGTTCCGATTTTTAAATATCATTGACAGGGATTTTAGAAGGCCAAATGGACACTGCAAAATGCAAAGTCTGCGGGCAAATGGCACAATGTCAACTAAATGTGGAATGATCATGTTTAACAGAAATTTTAAATAAAGACATTTAATTATTTCAATTCTGCCCCATCAATCTGAACTATACTTACATTATTATCGTAAGGCTGGGTCTGAACATCACTGTCTGAGGCCCAGTGTTTCATAAGGTAAGCCTCTGCCAATCAGCAGGCTGGCAGAACCTCGTGAGGTGCTTTAACTGCCCCCTTCAGCAGTCACTCCCCCATGAGTTTAGAAAAAGGATGGCCTTTGGGTAGACAAATCAGAAAACGTCCCTCCCTTGCAAGACTACAAGTCCCCTGGAGAGAACTGGGCAAAGGTATCCTTCGCTCCCAGTAACAGCCCTTCTCTGGCCAGAGTCAAGAGTGATCTTGCCTGGGCACTCTTGGAGGTCCTTGGTCTTTCAAGTGTTTTCAAGCTACAATGAAAGGCTTATGTTCCTTTAAAGAATGGAACTTGTTTTTTTTTCCCACCTGTCTACTGTAATTGTACTTCGGCTCTTCTACCCTCAAGCTTCAAAAACAATTCAGTATCCTTTATGGAAGAAGAAGCAAAAATGATGCCCTTTCCATCCTCTCAACAGACGTACTTGTGTTTGCTCTCCCGGTGAGCAGGGGAGTTCTGCTGTAGGACGGTTGAAGGGCACTGTCCTGGTAATCTGGGCAGTGAGTCAGAGCAGGATGGCACAGGTCTGGCCTTTCTTCCCTGGGCTCTCCTCTTGCACTCTGCCCAGGCTGCTTTGCCAGTCCTTTTCAAGTCCTCCCTAATCAGCACTTAACACTTTACTCCATTTATCACTTTGCTTTTATCACTGGCAAATAAAAGGAAAAGGCATCACTCTCTACTTCTCAATAACTTGCTAATTTGTCATGCTGTGTCTTCAGTTTGGGTCTAGCTCTGTTTTTGCAGAATAAAATGGTGAGAAACTCTCTGTATGAAAACCTTAGATATTATGATCTCTGCTCCCCTTAACCCCAACTCCCAAGAATATGTGCTGATTTAAGAATGAAAGAAGAGAAAGGAAGAATTAAGGGAGAGGATTTATCTGGTAATCAATGGAAAATGGTGAAAAGAACCCACTTCGAGGCATACCAATCTGATGAGTGTCCCTTTAAAACAAGCAGCTAAAAGTGCCTGCGACTTAGCAATACCATAAATGTCCCGCTGTTGTCTTGGCTTTGAGATTCTTCCCCGTACTTTCCATGAGCATTCCACTGGGAATTGTCTGGAATCCCAGATTAAAACAGCAATAACCCAATTCCCTGGTTAGAATATTTATTTTCTTTTAGGTTTGGAAACTCAGCTGGGATGCATCTTCAAGTGTGTGGCACAGCTTCAGTCATCGTAGGGGCTATATGCTCCTCTCAAACAGGATAACAAACAGCGGAATCCTAGAACAGGAGCGGGAGGACAGAAGCTCAGCCCCATTCGGAGAGTCCCAGCCGAGGGCAAACAGCAAGAGCCTGGGAAGCTCCACTTCCAGAGGATTCAATACAGACGTCAGAACCAATGGTGTCAACAATAGGTCTCATGCAGATGACCAAGGAGAGGTATATAAAGTTAGACTGCCATAAAGTAGGCATTCAGGCAAAATCTTTACCATCACCTGCATCCACAGTCTAACTACTGATGAAATGGCAAGGTTTCCAGGAATGTGCCACAATTCTATATTTTATAGCTGTCTACGTGGGGATCCATCCATGCTTCGAAGGATGATATGCAAACCATTCAACAAACAGATAGAACAGACAGGACAGCAATTAGAATAGATTCCAGCCATAAACCAATGCTACGGCCACATCAGCGAACACTGGCTAAGTGTCAACCCTGAATTCATCCATCCATCCATCCATCCAAAAAATATTTACTAAACACACACTTTATGGTGGTATAGTGGATATAAGATCCTGGGCTCTGGAGTCAGCCAGAACTGAGTGTGCGTCTTGACTCTATTCTCTTACAGGTTCTGTGATTGACCTTGAAAAAGTACTTAAATTATCTAAGCCCTTACGTGTGACATGCAGGTAGAAAGAAGACCTACCTTACAGGTACTGTGAGAATGAATTAAAAGAATTCCTGTAAAGGACTTCACATAGTGTCTGCTACAGGGTAATCCCATGATAAATATTAGCTATTATGGTTGTGTGCTTGGCACACAGAAGGCGCTACCAAAATGCCGGTAAGCAGCACAGACACGGCTCAATAAGGAAACTGTCTACTCCAGAAAAAATGCAAGTGTCACTACGGAAGAAACAATTCAAAGCAAGGAGAATGATGCCTCAGATGAGAATGATAATATTTGAAAGTTAGGAAGGCTGTGAAACATTTTCCTGTCCACACACAGTATTGTCTGCTAGGAGAACTGAGTTAAATTACCCACAGTCGAACAGCAGAACTAGGTAAAAGTTAAGATCTCCTGACCTCCAGTTCAGTGTGTTTGTTTGCTTGCTTGTTTGTTTTGTCAGGATAACATCTCATGGAAGGTAGTTAAGGAGCTTCCATATGTCAAGGCATCCAGAAGTGAACCAGGAGCAAAGGCCTCCTTGGGGGATGTTGCAAAATGTAAAAATGAAACGTTATGAAACAAATCTCAGTCTGTTTGTGATAAGTGTTTGAAACTTTTTTTTTTCTCTGTGCTAGAATTTAAGTTCCACAAGAGCAGAGGAGTTTTTTCTGCTTTGTTCATTTCTGCACCCCCAGGACACAGGAGAGTGCCGGGCACAGCAGAGGCAATCAATAACTATTTGCAAGATGAATAAATGAATGAATTAGGTAGCAGCAGTGTTCTGCCTGCGTGGCATGAGGATGTTCCATCCTGAGGCAAATATTTCTGAAGTGAATATATCGGTCACAGGATGACTTCTGGAGGAAAATTTCCTATCACTTGGCTGCTGTTTCTTTTCCAGTTGTGTCTGCTCCCATGGTGCCATAACATTCCAGTTTCCTAAGGACACTGATGTTCCCAGCCATGATCCTGGCACCTTTACAGTTCCAACCTCCTTAAAAGTAGAGGAAAAGATGGTAGAGTAGGGCTGTGTCCTTTACTTCCCTGCCCAAATGAAGCAGGAATGTCTTGACCATAGTAGGCAGCAACTTCGTAAATACTGATGGACGCAACAAGATGCAGGAGGGAAAGGATTCTCATGCCCCCAACTCCTTGCAAACATCCCAGCAACCATCTGCACTGTGGGGCAGAAGGCATAAGCCAGCAGTGTTCCCCCAGGAGCCCCAGTATCACGGTCATCTAATTCCCTGAATTATCAGAGAGAGAAAGGAAGAACCTGCATCCTCTGTCTCCTATTGTTCTCTGCATTCAGAAAGCAACCTTCTGAGGAGGGTGGAACAGGAAGAGAATCACCATGCTGGAGAGAGATGGTGAGCAAGACTGTGCCACCACTGAAGTCACTGGAAGGGCCACGGTGGCCCCAAGTGTCCTCTATAACCTAGTCTTGTGCCCACAGGATAACATTCAAGGCAGAGAAGCTGGCATTTTCTTGGATACGGTGAAGAGGGTGGGAATCAGGTGATTCATCTCTCCAGCTACCCCAATCCTGTTTTATCACCTGAGCTGGGCGGTAGTATGAGAAAGGCAGACAAAAAGGACACAGCAGGTGTCAACGGCTTTGGAGGCCAGTATCAGCAGCACAGGTGTGTGGGCCCCAAACCTCTGCCAAGTTGCAGCTGAGGACTGAGATGGGGAAGTGGTAGGCCAAGGGGTAGAGATGATTTGGGAGAGAAAGGTGGAACCACTACAGACTGCAGCTGCTGAGGCAAAGCAAGCACAAGAGAAGCAAGAGAGAGTGGAGGAGAAGGAAAGGAGGTAAGAGAAAGGACCTACGCAGGCCTAGAAAATGAAGGGAAGAAAAGTAGCCAGCACAGACAGGGAGGGGAAGGAGGGCCCTGGAAAGAAAGAACAGCGTACGGCTTAAATACAAAGCAGGAGTGAGTCTGACTCACAAACTGAGCAAAATTTAGGACCAAAGAAAATATTAAAGTTGAGTAAGCGTGAATTTGAGAATACAGATAAACTTTGCACACACACCAATCATCTTGTCTACTAGGAGATTTAGTTGGCTCTGCCATATACTGCATGCTTCCAGGTTTCTTGTTTTTTTAACGTGTCATAGTCAGGGAAGAAATGAACATATTGAGAAACAAGGAACAGAAATCTCAAACTTTTCAGAGGTCTTTGGGGGCAGGGGGTGTGAAAGATTCCAAAGCAGCGTGGCGAAGTCCTGTGAAAACCACCTCAGAGCTTGCTACTCTCTGGCCTGGAGTCCACTGCCTGCCACCCCCGCCCCATGCCATCAATCGTCTGTCCCTCTTGGGTCACGAACACTCACGCAGGTGCGCAGGCAGGCGGATTGAGTCTTCCTCCATCCTGAGCGCTCGAGGCACTGGAACATGAAGTGGCGTCGAGGAAGCGTAACTCGGCACTGGGCTCTCTGGAGGTGTATATGAAATTCGTTCCTGCTGTTAAAAATAAGGGCAGGAAGAGGGGAGGGGGAGAGAGACAATGAAAGCTTGGAATGGAGGTGCGAGACCATCTGGGGATGGGGAGCAAAAGGGAGGTGGGGCATGGGCAGTACCAGCTTCCCAAGCAATCCGGCTTACTCTCTCTGTAGAGACACTGTATACAGTTGTCTTTCAGATGCCTAGCATTGGGGCTATATAACAAAACTCTGCCATCTTTGAAAACAGCCTTTACTTTGGACTCAGGTCAATAGGTGTACACCCTGTGGTTTGTACAACTAAAAAGGAGGGACAAAACGGAACAAAAAAATATGTCCAAGAGAATGCCTTAAAGACAACTTTCTAAAAAATGACTTGCCCAAGTTGCATAATTAATGCCATCACTTTATCGAAGCCACGTTTTCTCTTCTGTAGCAATATCCCCAGCTTCTAATCAAAGTATGATTCTAGATTCACTGCACAGAGAGTGAGCTGAACGAGTAAAGTGACAGCTTCAAAGACAAGTTCTAGATTTAGAATTTAAATCCACGAGGAAGATTCTTCTGTTGTCCACCTATCTCACTATACAACAAACACAACTAAAAATATCCAACATCTAATTGTTTCCTTCATTGCAAGGAATTATCTGCAACAGTAATGAGTATCTCCTTGTTCCTTCATTCTCCGTCTCAGAATCGGTATTTCCTTTCCCTCTGAAGTATTTCCTAGTTCATTCAAAGAAGTATCTGAATTTAAAAGAAGTACTGTTTGACTGACCCCTTATCAACTATCAAAGGGTAGGGGGCAGCTTCGGTGGGTTCTCCATTTGAATTCAAACAAGCAGTGTTTGTTAGATCAATTAAAACAAACTAGATGGGGTGAGAAGGATTACTGTGAGTTTTAAGTTAAAATACCGCAAATAATGGCAAGAAACCGACTACTGGGTTCAGCAGAACAGCAGTGCAATTTGTATCTTAGATCAGCATACCAACTAGGTTGACTTGCAGTCCATACATACACACAACTTCGGGAGTGTCTGTGGTTTAACTGGGCAATGTAAAGTGGAACACACAACATCCAAAAATACGGTGGAAAGACGAGTAAAATGCCGTTATGAAAATAAAACTCAGGAGCAAAAGAAAATCGTACGTTAAAGTAAAGGGAAGGCAGTGTTTACGTTTTGGAAAGATACTTCTTTAACATTTTACATCTCATCAAATGTGCAAAGGGAAGTGGCGGAGTCCTCAGCCTATAACCAAATTAAAGCTTCTCTGCTCATAGCCTAGAAAGTTTGGCGGTTGCGGTAGGAAGTTCTGATTTTAAATGAATATATACATATTGTTATAATTTCCGAAGGGAATTGCTCTACCTTCCCTAAGGCACCTATCAGAAGCAACTAGGGCAGCTGGAATATTTCTGTTTAAACATACATCCTGCAGTTTCTTGGTGAATTTCTTAATGAAGGGCAGGCACATATATCCCAGGTTTCATTTCTGTCTCAATTAAGATATCCTGTAAAAAGTCACCCAGAGGCAAAACTTTCAACTGCACTTTTCTCGAACTTTAGCAAGCATCACATGTATTTTGAGAAACTTTAACTTAAGGATGGGTCATTCTTTTTTTGATGTTTGGTTTGGGGTGGTTTGGGATGAACAAAGCGAAAAAAATTAGTAATAACCCACACATATAGGAAACATAAAATCTGTTCAGAGGTTTTAAAGGTGAGGTGGGCTTTTGAGCATTTCAAAGTCTGTTTTTCGAATTTAACAAATTCTCCATATTCTTCAACTCTTGTCTGACACCAGCCCCCAAAATCCCACTATATGTCTAGATATCTACCGTTAACTTTATTCTCGGAAATAACTTTCTGTTTTGTTAGGGTTTTTGCAGAAGTGAAACTTGGTGAAGAAAACATCGGGCAGCCAAAGGGTCTTCAAATGGTGCTGCACGAGTGCAAGAAAAAAACAAGAGAGCATTTCGAAATTCAATGACTCTTGTTTCCCTTGAAGCGAAGAGAAACTCACAAGACACTTTGGCTAGTCCATGAGAGTGAGGCCACCTCATCCCCGCCTCCCCCAACTCCACCAAGGCAAGCTGGGAGAAACCCAGCCCTCCATGCTGACTGGACTTCATTTCTTGGGAACTCCATCTCCAGCCAACTGACAAAAGAGTCTGACTAGCTATTACCCTGAAAGTATATACTGTGATTTACTAAATCATCGTGGCTTTGGACCTTCCTTTCACTGTGCTCTCTTTAAAAGCAACCCCTTGGTGTGCTTTCTCTTCTACACGTTTCCCTGACCTTACGCTGAAACACCACACTTCTGCACCTGCTCTGGGATCTGACACCATCCCCTGCAAACCCCGTCCAAACAATTTTAGATGGAGACAACCGCTACTTCATGATGAAAACTTATAAAAGGAAGGCCAGAGAGGAAGAGACTGTGGCCCACTGATCTCCTCACGTTCCTGATGATGGTTTCTACTCAGCTGGAGGACAGTTTTCCACACCATTAGCTCTCTGTCAAAGGCTCAATGAAGAGACTTGTCAGCAACGAGAGGTTACCTTGACCAAGACGGGACCAATGCAAAATGTGCTTCTAGGGCCCCGAGCACTCTTCTCGCAGCCATGGCACACCTAAGGTAACTCTGGGCTCGGTGGCTGCAGAGCACTCAGGGACCCCAAGAGGATGCTGTACAGTGAGGGGACTCTGTTCTCGGGAGAACAAAACACACTCTTGGGAATCCCACCTACAAAGACTCCTCTTGTCTCTCTTTTTGTGAATCTCTAGGGTGACTCTCGCAGTCCTCATTTTTTACTCTATTGCAATAAGCATGCACTTAACATCTACCCTGGCACATCAGCAGACTATCAACAATTGGAAAAATTAAGCAAATACCACTATCTCAGATGGAGACACCGAGACAGAGAAGCTTAAGGACACTAACATCTAATTTCCCAAATAAAGGGAACTTCTTTACTCTTAACTGCTTCTCTGGTCCGACCCCAACAAAGGAGGGGGTGGTGGTGACAGTCCCAGCTTACAGCTCACCCACCTCTAAAGCAAACTGTCAGACAGATGAAAACCAGAGGTGCTTTCTTTTAACATTATGGGGAGTGGGTGCATGTGTGTGTGTGTGTGTGTGTGTGTGTGTGTGTGTGTGTGTGTGTGTGTGTGTGTGTGTGCATCCATAACGATTTTCCCAAGAGGATTATAACCACAGCTCTAATTAAATTAAAATGCTACAGACAGTGATATTAATGTATTCAAGTGTTGTAGGGGGATAAACTGCTGGAGGAGGTCAATGATGTGACTAAGAACGCCGTGATGTGGTTACATTATTGTTTAGATGCTGTAAAAAAAATAAAACATGCTGCTTTCAAATTTGCAGATACAACCTACCAAGCCAATCAGCTGAACAAAAGGGAAGCACTGCAATTTCTGAGGCCAATTGTAATACCTACGAGCAGGTTGTCGAGGAGGCAGCACAAAAGGCTGGGAAGAGAAAATAAGGCAGAAAACTGTTGTAGGCAGGAGCTGAAATGTACATTTCACTAACCATTACAGAAGCTTTTTTTAAAAAATGGAGTATGGAGTAGGGTTGTCTCTTAAGAGTGTAAGGACTGAAGCCAAAATGAGTTACGTTCCCTCTCCCATTCCTCTCCTAGCCATGAAGGGCCAATGAAGGATACCCATCTAATTCTGCTCATTTTTAAACTGAATGCTTAGGAGCCCGTGACTTCCCTGTAAAACAGGCGTATACAGTTTGTGCTCGGTAGGAGAATGGCATTTCTCCACGTCCCCCCACCCCCACCCTCAGGTTGCATATTACAGAAGAGTCAAAAAATGAGTATTATTACCAAAAGGCCTTTCCTCTTCAAAAGTATTCAATATAAAGCTTCCATATATCACAGGGATCCCCTAGCACATTTACACATTTGTTATTATACCCTTCGAAAAGGCTGAGGGGTTGGGAAACCTAGAGCCTACTGCTAACTAGATATTAACATTCTGGAAATAAAGCATTTTTGGAATTAAGAAAAACAGAAATAAAGTTGGTTGCGCTTGCAAAAAGATGGTTTGCAGGTAATTTCAAAGATTCCTCTGCTGCAGAACTGAGATGTCCTTGATACAGAAACTTTTCCTGGAAATGGTCCCTACCCCCATTATAAATGCCAGGACTGGCCCCAGTGATGGCTTCTGAAGCCTAGGTTAAAAGTCCTGAGGAGGAAGAGTGTCATGGACACAGGATGGTGGTCATTTCCCCACAGCTAGGGTAAAAATGCCACAGGCATGCTTTCATCCCATTGCACTTCAGTGTCCCATCACTGGGAAGAAACCTGCAACCCAGACAAGATGGAAAACAGCAGGCACTAGCGACAAGAGTGGTCATGCCGGCAATATTCAATATTTTGAGAGAAGGATCTCTTTTCCACCCTGCAGGTGTTTAGAAAAGCTGCCCGAGAAAGCTGATGCTTGTACCATCGTCAACTTCTACAGATTCAACAGAAGAAACCTCTCCTATGGGAAGCTATTTATTGAAATTTACTAAAGTGAAGTCTGAATACACAATTATTTAAGTACACTCTTCTGGCTGCAAAAATGATTCAAGTGGTGGTGATGTTGGCTTTCATTAAGTAAGCTTTTATTAACAAGCTGTAGACACATTAACAAAAAATTGAATACGCTGAAATTTGAGCTCTAGAGTTTTCTGAGTTTCTGCCACCAGGAAAGCACAAACAGACATACACAAGAACCTAAAGTAATACTCTCGAAAATCGACATTTTTTCACTTGAAAAAAGATATTCAATATTTTGTCCACTCCAAAATTCAGTGAGATAAACTTAAAGAATTTAAGATGCAAATGCCAGTCTTCTTTTCTAAATAGACATTGTACACACAGCCACAGAGAGTAACATTTTTGGAATCTCCCCAGAAAGAAACATCATACCCTAGCATCTGGCCTAGAAAGAACACCACAGAGACTCAAATACAAATTCTGAAGTACCAAAATCCAC